CCCCCCCCCCCCCCCCCGTCCCAGGTGGCAAGTATGTGCCCCGAGCTGTGCTCGTGGACCTGGAACCGGGCACCATGGATTCCGTGCGCTCGGGACCCTTCGGTCAAATCTTCAGGCCAGACAACTTCGTTTTCGGTGAGCCGGTAGGGGCTGGGCGGTGGCTTGATAGCCAGGACGGCTCGAAGGTCAAGGGGTACCCAAGGTCACCGCTGTCGGTACCGCAGAGCTGAGATCCTGATCCACTCTGCCCCCTGAGCAGACGCTAGCGCCCGTGGACACTTTCCTCCTCTCCCTGGAGTCAATCTCCTCGTAAAGCGGCTTTGGGAGGGAGGCCCAGCTGTCCACCCGCAGGGAAGGCGTCAGCAGATGTAATCTTTCTGCTACAAACGTTGAATTGCAGGCAGTGGAAGCTGTGTTTGCAGCTCATCTGTCCTTGAGAATTGGCAGGGGCCGCCTGTGGGAGGGGATGGCTTATTGTTAAGCCATCTTGGCTTGATTCCTAACTTAATTTTTAATCGGGCAGGCTCTTAACCTTCTGGCTTGGGGGTCCATTTGCTCTACCTGCAGGTTGAGTTCACACCATGTTATTTGGGGTTTTTTGGCACGGGTGACCAGTGGGGACCACATGCCGGGCAAAGAGTGACTGGCTGCCTTCTTACAGGTCAGAGTGGTGCCGGGAATAACTGGGCCAAGGGGCACTACACGGAAGGTGCAGAGCTGGTCGACTCGGTCTTGGATGTCGTGAGGAAGGAGGCCGAGAGCTGTGACTGCCTGCAGGGCTTCCAGCTGACCCACTCCCTGGGCGGGGGCACCGGGTCTGGGATGGGTACCCTCCTCATCAGCAAGATCCGGGAGGAGTACCCCGACAGGATCATGAACACGTTCAGTGTGGTGCCCTCGCCCAAGGTGTCGGACACGGTGGTGGAGCCTTATAACGCCACCCTCTCGGTCCATCAGCTCGTAGAGAACACAGACGAAACCTATTGCATTGATAACGAGGCCCTCTATGACATCTGCTTCAGAACCCTAAAACTGACCACTCCTACCTATGGGGACCTCAACCACCTGGTGTCAGCCACCATGAGCGGGGTCACCACCTGCCTGCGCTTTCCCGGCCAGCTCAATGCTGACCTGCGCAAGCTGGCTGTCAACATGGTCCCCTTCCCCCGCCTGCATTTCTTCATGCCCGGCTTCGCCCCACTGACCAGCCGAGGCAGCCAACAGTACCGGGCCCTGACGGTGCCCGAGCTCACCCAGCAAATGTTCGATGCGAAGAACATGATGGCTGCCTGTGACCCCCGCCACGGCCGCTACCTGACCGTGGCCGCAGTGTTCAGGGGTCGCATGTCCATGAAGGAGGTGGACGAGCAGATGCTGAACGTCCAAAACAAGAACAGCAGCTACTTCGTCGAGTGGATCCCCAACAACGTGAAGACCGCCGTCTGTGACATCCCGCCCCGGGGGCTGAAAATGTCCGCCACCTTCATCGGCAACAGCACGGCCATCCAGGAGCTGTTCAAGCGCATCTCGGAGCAGTTCACGGCCATGTTCCGGCGCAAGGCCTTCCTGCACTGGTACACGGGCGAGGGCATGGACGAGATGGAGTTCACCGAGGCCGAGAGCAACATGAATGACCTGGTGTCCGAGTACCAGCAGTACCAGGACGCCACGGCTGAGGAGGAGGGCGAGTTTGAGGAGGAGGCAGAGGAAGAGGTGGCCTAAAGCTGACACCTGGTAAAGCACGCGGAAGCTGTGTGAACTCTTTATTCTCTTTATTCTCTGATAGCCATGTCTCTGTGTGCACTTGCTCTTTTCCTTGTCTTGACGTCACATGCTGTACAGACGCCACCATTAAAGCATTTTCATAGTGTCTGGTCTCGCCTCTCCAGTTCCTTCTGATAGGCTTTGCGGGTGCTGTTGCCAAACGTCATTGCGTAGTTGTCTTGCATGGCTGCAAGGGGGAACACTGCAGCTGAGCCCCAGCCTTGCCCACACCCAGGAAGGGCATTCAGAGGGCTACCCTGGGCACCTGCCTCCTGAAGATGGGCTTGGCCTGTCCACACTGAACCTCTGGAGGACCAGCATGGTCTAGAAGCAGCCAGCCTCTGGCTTTGAGTAAGGGGCTGAGCCCCTTCCACACCAGGGGGGGATATGAACCCTGGGATCGTACAGCTGGCTCTGTGCCAGTGGTACAGCGTGGGTAGGGGACCCCAGTCACCCAACTCCTTCCTGGAGCAGCCTGGTCACTCTGCCCTTGTTGAGCAGGTGGGGGAGGGGGGGGTGTCTGTTGTGTACTCACATGGTATAAACCCCATGTAGAAGGGTATCAGGCCCTTGCTGTTATAGATGGTGTTGCTGGGCCAGTGTGTTCTGGGCAGCCTTTCACCCAGGGCACAGATGGGATTTTTGATCAGGAACTGTGGAAACAGGCAGGTGCTGACGTGCTGCCCTCACCAACCAGTAAGTGCGACAGGTAATGGTGGAGGCTGGGCTGGTGATCTGAGAGGTGGCTAATGCTCCCAAGGTCTCTTCTGCCCTACCTTCTCCCCACAATGCTGAGGAGTAGTGAGCCTAGGTCTGGTCAGAAGCATGAGGGGGAGCAGCCTCTTTGGGCCAGGCAGTCCCCCCTCCCCAGGCCTCTAAGGAAGCCTGCCCTCCACAGCCCCCTCTGGGGAAGCCGGCTGAGCCTTGGCCATGCTCCTGCCTCCCAGGAGGTGTGGACACCACCTTGCGGGCCATGATGGGCATTTGGGAGCAGGCCCAGAGATGACGTCCTCGTACCTGATTCTTGTCAAACTCGTCCATAGCCTGTGTGACACCATCGCAGTAATTCACCCCCATCACCCAGGCAAACCGAGGGACAAAGCCAGCATAGCCTAGGGGATGGAGTCGTGAGGGTCCTGCCCCAGGTCCCCTCCACCTTTCTCTGGGCATACCCACCTGTCCCCGGTATGTCAGGGAAGTCTGTTGGGGCTCCTTCCCTAAACGTCAGTTTCCCGTTGGGGCCGGCGGCAGTGGGTGGGCTCTAGGAAACCGCTGTCAGGGCAGGCGCATGGCTGGGGGCAGACCCACCGGCAGCCCTCCTCACTTACTCCCCCTCATCCTGCCTGGGCTCCTTAGAGTCTTGTTGGGGGGTGGGGCGGGGCGGGAGTGTGCTCGCGCCCAGGCCCTGGGCACCCACCTGAGATGGCTTTGCGTTGGATCAGGTTGGGGTGGTCCAGCTGGGGCAGCCTGTGAAACCTGCCCACATCTAATGTCTCCTGCTGGTGGGCTGGGGGTGGGTGTTCATCCCTCCTGCAGTGGTATAGCTGGGGTGGGAGGGGGGCAAGTCACTGCCTCAGCCCCACCTGGGTCTGGCAGGGGTGAGGCTTGATCCCAGCACATCTCCCGGTTACCTGGGCCCGCTCAGGGGCCTCGTGGACAGGGGTGGTGCTCTTCCAGCCTTCCTCACCGTATGCCAGCCGCAGCCCTGGGTGTCCAAAGTCTCTGGAGTCCCCCTTCCTGCCTGGTGGGCATGGAGGGTAAGGGGGGTAGGGCATGAAGCCTGCAGGCCGCAGGACCTGCCTGGATACGTTCTCTGCCCCTGACGGCACCTCCTGGGGTGGGAACCGGCCCAGGATCTCAAAGTTCTTGTAGGGCTTCAGACCTGTATGGATAGGGTGAGTGTGAGTGATGGCACCCAGGAGGGTGGGCCCGGGACAGGCAAGACTGGTGGCGGAGGGCTCACCGGTGTAGTGGGGGATGTAGGGCTCAGTCAGGTCGCGGCAGGGGATCAAAGGTGGCTTGGACTTGCTGAAGTCCTCGATGAACTTGGGCTTGGATATGGGGGACAACACCGAGCAGGGGCTCTTCCTCACGCTGGGGTCTGTGAGCAGCTGCGCTGTGGTGCGCCCATAGGTGTTCCCCACTTGGTAGCGCAGCTGGGGATAGAAGCCGGCATAGCTGTGGAGGGGGGGGGG